GCTGAATTCAAGTGCTTGTGCCATAAATCTTCAGTGAACCACTATTAATAACAATATCTCTGACATTTAGAGTTCTTCCATGATTATTCTGCTTACTGTCTTAGGGTTCAGCAATAGAAGTTAATTGCTAATTTTGATCAAGAAGCATCTTAGAATACCTCTGTAATTTTTAAGCAAGCCTGAAGTCTAAAACTCCCCTTCAGTTTGTGCTTATTTTTATAGGAAGAGGAGAAATTAAACTCTTTATTTCCCACCTTGCTTTCAAAATGAATTAATCAGTTCAGATGTACAAAATCACTGTGCTCTAGGATTGTTTACAGATCTCATTTTATGTTTGAAATGTACATTTGGAACACCTTCACTCTCGAAGCATCTACGTTGTATACTGTTGAAGTGAATCTTGCTTTCTTGACAGGAAGCTCGAAGTTGTTATGATTGCATTACTGAATATCTTTGTATAAATCAGGTAATAATGACATATGTCCAGGGTTCTGTAATGTGCTGTAGCAGATATCAAATTCAAATTAGTGCAAATCTTTCTAGTGTGTGTTATGAACTCTTTACATTGATAGCCGCAACATCTGTTAGAGCAACAGATCTGTGAAGGGATCTTGAATGACCAGAACATGTATTCTGGTCTTAAAATTGTCTCTTTTTTTTTAGTCTTTTTTTTTTAATTCCAGCTCTATTTGCCCTTTTTTTTCAGTATGTTCCAGAACCTGAGGAAGTGCTTAGTCCCTCAGTGTGTTGACTTTGATACTTCTCTAGAGGTGCTGTTTCCCTAACACAGGCTACAGTCCACCAAGAGCAAGGAACATTTAGGCAATTCGTATGTCTGGATTCTGGTCATAGCTTGAAATTTTAGCTATTTTTATTAATATTTTCGCCTGTTCACTCATTCTCTTCTTCAGCTGATCCAGACAGTCATTTTGCATCCATGACACTTACGAGGCTTATCTGATGTATTATTAAAAATACTTTTATTATCCCTTGAAAGGTGAACTGCTAGCAGAGGGCATGAGGTCTCGGTAACTAAGGAAAGCCTGAACAACAGTTATAAAACTGTAAGCTGAAGTATTTAATATTTCTTAATATAAATTAAGAAAGTAAACATTAATGTCATGCTCACATTTTTTATAACCATTTTATTTTTCTATCATTCCTGTAATGTTGTTAACATCTATATGAAAGTGCAAAAATTTTTCTTTACTCAAGGAGCTTTTGAGCTGACATCTGTGGGTGGTTTGTTGTTTTGATTTTATGACTTCAAGAATAACTGAGGAACCCAAAGGCATCTCTATTCAACCAGTGTATATACTACAGAGGGCATGTAATTATGAGCTGGTTTGAGACATTAACATATTAGTCGTCTTCCCTGCATTGCAGCAAGAACTAACGCAGCTCAGACTCATCAGGTTTCTTGAGCTTAAAATGATGAAATTAAGGCTTTGTCACATATTTTTAATATAAGCAAAATGCCTCTTGGGAAGTTGCATGCACAGAAGCATCTCCTGCATAGAAACCACATTTGCTGTTTCCCAGTTACTTACATTTCTAAATGGTAGGCTAGCACTTGGCTTTCTTAAGTAGCTGCTCTGGCAAATCTGTAAATGGAAGCTGTGCGGCTCGTGAGCATGAGATGTGAATTATAGGAAGACCTTGGTGATTACAGCTCTGTTGTTCCTATAGCAACAGGAGTGTCG